CAACTATAGATCGGTGTATTTTGTCAAGAATAAGTCTGATATAAAGTACTCTATTGAAGATTTCGTTAACAAGGCAGAAAATGTGACTGGAAATAAGGTAAAAATCTTCATAACTGATAATGGTCTTGAGTTTATAAATAAGAAGGTTAAAGAAATCTTTACTAAACGCGGAATAATACATCAAACAAGTGTCCCCTACACCCCAGAGCAGAACGGAAAAGCAGAACGAGAGAATCGGACGCGAGTCCAATCCGCTCGCACAATGCTGAATGCATGCAAGGATTTACCAAACTCATTGTGGGCTGAGGCTGTAAACACAGCAGCATTTGTCTTGAACAGGATCGGAAAAAGTGAAGACAGTGAAAAATCGCCATATGAGGTGTGGTTTGGAAAAGACTTTGGTATTCATCAGTTAAAACCATTTGGGGCACCAGTGTATGCACAGATTCCTAAAGAAAAGCGAAATAAGTGGGATAGTAAAGGAGAAAAAGGAGTAATGGTTGGTTATGGCGAAACTGTTAAAGGATATAGAACATACTTATGACATAGGAATGATGTAGAACTCAAACAAGATGTAGTTTTCTTAGAAAAAGAACATTTTTCTTGTATGTTGGTAATTGTTATTGTCATCTTTCTTTGGAATGTTTAGTATTAGTTATAAAAGTATATTGTAAGGTAGATAATTGCTAGTTAACGTACTGTAACTTTGACACTTTGACTCATCTGATATTAACACCTCTCACTTTTGTGTCTATAGTATGTTAACGTTCCGTTTCTTAACTTATTGTTAAGTGAATTAAACATTTCTTTCCATAATGTTGGCAGTTTACTGATGTCTTATTTATTTTTGAATTATTTATTTTATAATTATATATATTATAATACATACATATAATAATACATATTTACTTAGTTTTACATATATTTAGTAATCAGATATAATTTAATATGATTTCTTCAGATGATAGTGTTTGGAGTTCCAATTCCTTCGCCTTTGATTCTGCTTCTGATGGATTAAGCAGTATTGACAGCTTTGAAAGTATTGAACCCTTAAATATTATGTTAGATTCAACTTTTTCTGAATCTAAAAAAAACTTTAACGCTCTTCACATAAATGCTCAAAGTATTCCTGCTCATTACCCCGACATGTTGTCAAGTTTTAATAGCAAAAACATACACGCTATCCTTGTTTCGGAGTCGTGGTTAAAACCATGTCTTCCATCAACTTCCTACTCGCTTCCAGGTTTTGATTTGATTCGTAACGACCGTACCGATTGGGGCGGTGGTGGTGTTGCTATTTATCTGCGCTCCTATGTACCTTTTTCAGTAATTCAAGTTTCAAATGGTTCGCAGACTGGAAACGAAGCTGAATTTCTCTTTATCGAAGTTCTTCTTGGTCATATAAAATTACTTCTTGGAATTTTTTAGAGTCCCTCTCTCACTGTCGACTACTTCACCACGTTAGAAAATATTCTTGACAATCTTACACCTATCTATTGTCACAGTATTATTATGGGTGATTTTAATACCTGTCTTTTAAAAAACAATGCTAGATCAATAAAACTTAAATCTATTATTGAAGCAGCAAATTTAAAACTTCTTCCTTCTTCCGCCACACACTTTTTCCCGAACTGTGCCCCTTCTCTTCTCGACATAATGTTTGTGTCTTTACCTGACCATGTTCTTAAATTTGGGCAACATGCTGCTGATTCTTTTTCCTATCACGACCTTTTATACTTGTCATACAAAATCCGTCCCCTAAAGCTAAGTCAAGGATACTACTTCAGCGTAACTTTAGTGACTTGGATTTGGAGCAGCTTTTAAATGACGCTGTAAAGATTGATTGGAGTGTAGTCGTCAATGCGTCTACTGTTGATGAACAGGTTGCTTTGTTCAACTCTCTGTTAATTCAGCTTTACGACGTTCATGCTCCTGTTCGTCCAGTGCGTGTAAAGCATCCTCCCTCTCCTTGGCTGACCGATGATATAAAAAAAATCATCCACATTAAAAATTGTGCCAAAGCTAAATACAAGTCAGTCCCTAGCGATTTGAATAGAGAGAAGTATAGATTAGTACGGAATCGTTGCAACAATCTGTGTAGAAAAGCACAACGACGCCATATCCATGAATCAGTACAAGATCCTGATCCTGCTAGGGTCTGGAAATTTCTTAAATCCTTAGGAGTTGCGAAATTACGACAAAATCTCACACACCATTACCTTGATCTCAATCAACTTAATTTGCATTTCTCATCTTCTTCTTGCATTAACGATAAAGCAAAACATAATACTTTAGATTCTCTTTCAAAAGCTCCCACTCCGGACATCCCTGCTTTTAATTTTAGCCAATTTAAAAGTTGTGATGTTAAGAGAGCCTTAATGTTCATCCATTCAAATTCGATTGGTGGTGACTGCATTAGTCGGAAAATGGTCATCCCTCTCATTGATCTCCTTTTACCTATAATCACGTCTATCTTGAATAAATCACTGAATTCTTTTTTTTTCCCTTCAGCTTGGAAAGACGCATTTGTAGTTCCTCTTCCGAAAAAGTCAAATCCCTCTAGTTTTTCCGATTATACACCTATCTCTATTTTGCCTTTCTTTTCCAAAGTTCTAGAACGTCTTGTGCACAATCAATTAAGCACCTATCTTTTAAAACACAATCTTTTAAATTCCTTGCAATCCGGTTTCCGTCCTGGCCATAGTACGACTACTGCACTTTTACAAATCACTGATGATATTCGGTACGGTATGGAGAAACAAAAGCTTACTATTCTCACGTTGCTTGATTTTAGTAACGCATTTAATACTGTAGATTTTGATATCTTGTTAAGCATCTAACGCTCTCTCAACATATCTCCAAATGTAGTTGACTGGTTTTGAAGTTACTTCTTTGGTCGCCGACAGCGAATTCAGGTGCAAGAGGTTTTTTCCACCTGGATTACTACAGCTGCTGGTGTACCACAAGGTGGCGTGTTGTCTCCTCTCCTTTTTTGCAATTTTCATTAACTCTATAAGTCATAATTTGTCCTCTTCCTACCACTTGTATGCTGATGATCTCCAAATCTATACTCAGTCCTCTCTTGAAGATCTATCTAAAGCAGTTGACACTATGAACGCTGATCTGACTTGTATTTCGAATTGGAGTAAATGTTATGGATTAACGATTAATCCTAAGAAAACTCAGGTCATTGTCATCGGTAGTTCTAGATTAATTGGTAAAATTGACTGGTTTTCCCTACCCCCTATTATACTAGACTGCACTCTAATCCCTTACAGTAACAAGGTTAAAAACCTGGGGTTGTATCTTGACTCCTGTATGTCTTGGACCTCACAGGTTAATGAGGTCAGTAGAAAAATGATTGCTGCGTTAAGCTCTTTACGTAGATTACGTAATATCCTTCCCACAGCAACTAAAGTTACGCTCGCCCAGTCTCTTCTTCTGCCTATCCTTGACTATACTGATATTTGCTATCTTGACATTACCCAGGAGCAGGTTAATAAGCTTGAGCGCATTCAAAATGTACGCATTAGATTTATATTTGGGCTTCGCAAATATGATCATATCTCCGAATTTCGCAAACAGCTCAAATGGCTCCCGATCCGCCTTCGCAGGAATACTTACATTCTCTCCGCGTTGTATAGTGTGCTGTTTAATCCTTCTACTCCTCTTTATTTAAAAAACCGTTTCAAGTATCTTTCTCTTACCCATAATCGGTTCCTTCGATCCTCCATCAATCTTTCTCTCTCTACACCTTTGCACTCTTCTTCAAGAAATCCTTCACCGTAACCGCTGTGCGATTGTGGAACTCCTTACCTCTTAATATTCGTCGTGCTAAATCTCTTCACTCTTTCAAAATTCTTGTTAAATCGTATTATTTAGAATGCTATCAGATAAATTACTTTACCTTTCTCTTACTCTTTTCAATTAATCTATTATATGATATTTTGTATACAACTTTCACTTACTTTTATTTGTATGTATTATTGTATTTTTTTTTATTATTATTTTGTATGCCCCCCTCTATTTGTAACTTTTGTTTGCATCATTCCTCTACGCAAAGGTTGTCTGGAAGAAATCACTTTCAGTGATAAGACCGCCTATTGTACATACTTTAATTAGTTTTAACTATATTGATGTTTCTGTATTGTGGTGTACAAAAAATAATAAATAAAGCTGTTATCCTTAAAGTTCTGTTAGATCGAATTGTGACTCTTGTCTTTATAGAAAGTACACTGATAGTGATCAAATTTATTTACTATTGTATGTTGACGATGTCGTAATATTTGGAACAAGTGATAACTCAGTAAAGCAGGTAAAAAATGTATTATGTCAGGAATTAAAAATGAAAAACTTAGGATATGTAAGGGATTACTTAGGCATAAATATAACACAAAATTTAGACACAAAAGTTACTGAACTGAGCCAAAGAAAATATTTAAAGAATGTCCTCAAAATATTTAAAAAGGAAAATTGTAAACCAATGTCTACACCAATTGACCAAAATATTACCCCTCATGTACCGAGGACATGTTGACATGTCCACGTTTTGTGACCGCTGAGTACAGAGGACATGTATACATGTCCGCATTACGTGCTGCTATTTTCGTCATTAATTGATATAAAAATACAGTATATTTTTTATTGAACACTATTTCATTCGATTCGGAACAAACTACAGAGTATTTTGAAGAATTATATTCACTCGGTTACATAGACAAAATAAAATATAATAGCCATTCGATTTTGCGCTGTGCGGCTAGTTAGTTGCGTAATCGTTGAAGTTTTGTGATTGTGATTTTAGTTGGATTTTCTTTCAAAAAAACTGTAAGTAATGTATCTTTACTACGAAACGTTTTTGAATGTTTTAAGTTACAACAACAGTAACTTTTTTATATTTCAATTGATAAAAAAGTAGAAACAAAAAACCTCTACGCGAACAATTCTTAACAGTCAAGATTTCTAATAAGATTCGATTCGATTCGATTCGATTTCGATTTCTAATAAGACTTATATATGGTGGGTAGACACGTGATGGGGCGGTATTTGCTCGGGTCTGTGGTATCCTGGTCTTTAGGAACCAAGTGATTGATCCCAGTAGTGAAGAGGCTCGGGAGTGACTTCTGGTCGAGAGCCTCTTGAAACTGTCGGGCGAGCACAGCGTGACACACTACGAACCCCTTCAGCCAGTAATGATGCAGCCCATCGAGCCCCGGACTTTTCCATTTCGGGGCCCTACGGACCGCCTCAGCCACGTCTTCTGGCGTTATGGTGATGGGGTCCATAGGCGTAACACTCGCACCCTGGCTCGCCACAACTTCCGTCCAAGGGCCCTCACTGTGGTTTACGGGCTCTGACCACAGGCCACGCCAGAATGCGATAATGTCGGCCTGATCCGGTCCTTGGCCCGCTCCACATACCTTTGGTCGCTCCAATAATTTATAGAGCCTCTTCTGATCACTCTGGAAGAGACGATTCTGGTTGAGCCGCCTCGACCCCTCGGAAAATCGTCGAATCCGCTTCCCCCAAGCAGCGATCTTTTGCTTCAGGTCGTCTATGCGCTCCGTTAGTTTCTGCGTGATATCCGGCTGGGACAAACTGATATTTGTCCCAGCAAACGCCATCGTAACGGTGCGCACAATCCTCGGTCTATTATTACCCGACCTGAAGCTTGTTAGTCTGCCGATAAGGGTCCTTGCCGTTGCGACACGGGCCTCGATTCTTTTCCTCCAGGCTGGGATGGCGTTACTTTGTGTAGTAGCGCGTCCAGCCATGGGAAGTTTGGCGCCAATAATACGGCAAACTGCCACTGCGGCGCCAAAGAGAATCGAGTCCGTCTCGCAAAGGTCCCGGCTGGCTTCCAAATAGGTCACCAGCATTGGGTTAAGAGCCCTCACTACAGCCCGATTTCGCTTGCTTAAGGGTAGCAGTCGCGGTCGATTTTCGAGAGGGATGCTGCGCGTTTCCAAAATCGCCTCTTCCAATATACTCCTCATTTGCTCTATGTTCGTGGGAGACTATTTCATCGTCGTTCGAATCAACCACAACTGGAAGATCCATGGCGGCTTCCACGTGTGGATGCTGGTCTGTCGAATGTGGAGCTGCATCTCCAGCCGTAGCCGATTCATTCGACGACGGAATAGCCTCACGTCGTAGTCGTTCGAGTTCGGCGTCATCAAATATTTTCGAGCGCATGATGTACCGAACTCGGTCTGCCAGGTTTTGTTCCGTGACGGGGATAGACGGCTCCAGCTCAGCAAAAAATCAATGCATCCGAGACCTATACGCTATTCCCACAGTTTCTTCCCCTTTCGCCCTATAGTACGCCCGCAATGCGTTTCGTTCATGGATTTTGTCCAACGCATGCGACGTGCTCCACCAGCGGCGGGTGCCGCTTGCTGGGTCCGAGAAGATCCAGCCGACACCAAGCCTTCTGGTGGGGATGATGGATGCGATGGGCTGCTAGGTGATCGTGCAGCTCCTCGCGCTCGGCTGGCGGCCCGCATGCTGCCGCGTCCAGCGCCAGCTCCAGACGCGCCCCGGCGACCCCCAGGCAGCGGTCCTATGCGCTATTTTATTAATATTATTATTATTATATTTTTATGATAAGCATACTCCTGTACGTACAGTAAAATTATGACGTCCACCCTGGATTTTTGAAGAGTTACGAAAGGCCATGACCAGACGAAATCGAGCTTTTGGCCCGATTCAAGAGTAGCAGATCTGAGGAAAACTAGTTGTCTTTTAAGAAGGTCCGAAAAAGATGCAATCAGATGATACGTTCTGTTAAACGCCAGTTTATCCATAGCAATATAAGTAATTCTTCACCAGCTGATGTTTGGAAATTCCTTAATTCTCTAGGTGTGAGTAAAAGACTTTTTTTGGATTGTGATTTATTTCTTTCAATCCGAACACAAACAGTCGCTTACATATCTTTTTTCCGTCTCCGCACATACCAGTCTTATTAACCCTGTAGATCAGGATGAAATTAGAAAGACTCTTCTGGCAATAAAATCCAAGGCTTTCGGTTGCGATGATATTAGTAGAGCCATGATTATTAATATTCCAGATACACAATTTCCCCGCAATCACACATATTGTTAATTTTTCGCTTGACTCGGGTCAGTTTCCGAGTCAGTTCTCTACTCTATCTTAAATGTAAGAAGAAAGAGTGGATGGATCCACTCCTTCTTATCTCAATGAGAAATTTCAGTATATTTCCTTAACGCCTTATATATCTCTTTGTTCCTCATATAATAATAAACTAAGTATCCCACTACATTTTACTAATTTTATTGGTAAATCCTTCACCATTCAGAATGCACTGCTCTAAAAAATTTGCCCGACGTCAGAAAAACATCTTATAAGACTGGATTTAAAAGATTGGTACATAAGCACTTCATGAAGATATTAGAGGATAGTTAATATGGTCAATTTTGTTACCTTTATTGTTAATTTTATTTATAAGTTCATGTTTATATCTATTTGTATTTAAAATATGCATATATTTATGTATCTATGTATTTGTATGTAAATATAATATATTGTCTGTATTATATTTTACAGTATATAAGTTTATTGTATATATATATATATATATATATATATATATATATATATATATATATATATATATATATATATATATATATATATATATATATTATTCTTGATGTACTCCATTGTTCATTTTCTTTTGTCATCTATCATATAATTTCCACAAGTCCCAGTATGACTGGGAAAGAATGCCTAATGGCATTAAGTCCGCCCTTTGTAATCCTTTTATTAAGGTGCAATAAAGTGTTAATAAGTAATAAATAAATAAATAAATATGTGGTGCTGTATATAGGTGCCGAAAAATTAACTTTTATCCAATTTCTCCTTCTTTCTTTAAAATCACATCACCTCATGGGTGTCGTATAAGGCCACAGGGGAGGCTGAAACAGGAAATGAGCAGTAGCATGTTGCTACTAAAACTTAAAAAAGTAATAATTACGGTTGTCAATGTGATTGCCTAGTTTGTTATCTATCAAAAATTGACTATATATGGGTTCATATATGGGGGAGGCCTTTGTTTAGTAGCAAACTTTGAAACTTTGAATCAAATTAACACTCGATACACATGTTGAACAAATATGTAATAAAGCTCTTAAAATATTTGGGTTTGTAATGAGAGCCTGTAAGGATTTCACAAACCCAGCAACATATATCCTTTTGTATAAGGCACTGATACGCTCCCAGTTGGAATACGCTGTTGCTATGTGGAATCCTTTTTATAATGTCTATACTGATCAGATTGAGAGGGTACAAAAAAAGTTTTTTAAGTCAATGTTCTGTAGATGTAAGCATAAATATTGTTCGTATAATGCTATTTTAGATAAATACAAAATGTTAACTTTAAAGCTCAGACGACAACAATTAGTAGCAATGTTATTATTTGACCTTTGCCATAATAGATATGATTGCATCCCTGTAACAAATAAATTGCGATATCGTGTACCTACTCGATCACGTGTAAGATCAACATACTCCCGTCAAACATTTGCCCTTCCCTTGTGTAGAACCAATGCTGGCAAAAGAGCGCCGTTGTATCGCTTAATGCAAAATTATAATGATCACTTTTGGGACATTGACATTTTTAATAACAGTGCTAATTCCTATAGAAGCAAAGTGATTAATAAGCTTATGAGTCGTGATAACTAAAAACTAAATAAAATAAATCAAAACATAATTTAAATTATATAATTTTTCTGAAATCAAAACTAAAATGTGAACAGATTTTTTTTCTTCATTTTGTAACATTGTATTTTATGTATTGTAAGTCCTCCTTCACATCTCTCACTTTTGTAGTTTATTCTATAAATCATTATCTGAGGCTGGTGGTGTTGGCTTCACTAAACTCAAATTTTAGGATTAAGACTGTAGTTATTAAGCCTCTGTTGAAGCTGTTTACTGGTCCTTAAATAAACTAAAAAAAAAAACTTTTGTAAGCTGTAATGAAAGATTGTTAGAATGAATACGTAAGCGAGAGTACATGTTCTAACAACAGTTGAGCATGGTTGTGGCGATACTTGAAATTCACTTAGAGTTTTCTTTGTTTTTCTGAGCTTCAAATAAAACAAATTTCATTTCTCTTTGTCTTTTGTATTTTTAAACTTCAAAAAGGTTAATTTAGTCAACTCTCTGACATGGACAAATGACGTATAAGAGAATACCAAAAAACAGTACAATTATTTTATCAGAATAGAAAATAAAGCTATCAAGTTCTAAATTTTATATCAATTGTAATAACAAAAAGTTCTTCAGAATTCCTCTAAATACTATTTTCAAATAAGTATTTTCGTGTAAAAACACGTCCGGCTACAAATATGATAATAAGCTTTTTAAAAGTTATAGCAAAGTGAATATCCGAACGCCGTCATCATAACAACCCTTTAAATTCATTACTAAAATGTTAAATAGAGTATTTTATGATTCAGTTAACAATCTAGTTACAATAATGAAGTATACTTTGTTTGTGCTAGTCTAGGTAGTCCTTTGACAACTTTAGATAAACGAGCACACAGTCCACCGAATCGTAAGTGGATGCCGCGGCTCATAGACATCCATATTTATCCTCGGTTGAGAATCAAAATGCTGATGCATTTTCACCCCTGTTAACTAAGATAGAATGCCTCGTTTCCAGTAAAAAGTGTTTTCGGTACTTACTCAGCGTACAAAAATATTCAGCCGCTTTTACACTCCGGTATTCTATTAGAGCATGGTCCTGCCCTGTCGAGCCGATCCATTTGTGCTACTTACATAATATAGCTGCAGCGTGGCTCTATTACATTATGACATTAAAGGTCTTTTAATGTCTAAGACTCCGTTTTGGTACGTTACGTCCCACCTTTTGTGCCAAATGGCATTGCCGATGCTTTTGTGTTCTGGTCTGAAGGGTACAAAAAGCCAGTTTGTAATGGCTTGATTGAGGAAAAAGGGTAACTAACGAGCACTCAGTCCACCTTAAGACTTAAGTAGATGCTGTTGCCTATAGACATCTATATCGATCCTCAATTAGGAATCAAAATGCAGATTCGTCGTCATTCCTAAGTACTACTATGGAATGCACACGTAATATCGAACATGAAAATGTATTTGATACTGAACATTACTTAATTCGCACAAAATTGAAGAGTTTGGTGGCCTTGAAAATTATGAACTTTGTTGCAAACAAATTATATATTTATAATTATTATCAGTAATTTATGTTGATATAATGAGTTATTTGAACGTCAATTACTTTTTATTTTGGCGTAAAAATATGTTGCATGTTTTATTATTTACTGTTAAATAAAATACTCTAAAAATATTTGAAACAGTAAAACTGAATTTATTAATTTAGTGCGCTGCCTGATAATTTTAAAAAATATTATATTTCATATAAATACTTACTTCAATATTTATGTGTTCAAAGTATTGAACATTAACTACCCAAAATGTTAATTAAAAAAATCTTCAAACACGAATGAAATAGATTGTTAATGATGTCGTCCAGACCGAATTTCGGTAAGGGCGGCTAGTCCCAACCCCCGTTATCTATCGTAAACCGTAGTCTCCACGAGCCAATAGAATTATAGTGCCCAAACGTACGCGCAAGCACATGTATACACTTTATTTCCTCACTGTCGTAATCCGATTGGACGGTAATACCACAGATCATAGTATATGATTCGTGGTATAGCCACAACACTAGCGTATCACGACTTCATTGCGAATAGGTCCGAATAAGCTCTCGTAGAATAAAAGCGAGAAATAGCAGCCTAATATAGTTTTATTTAATATGGTCAGTGATGAGAATCGGTCCTCAGCCCTCAAGTGGTTGAATCCGACCGCGACG